GGATTGACTCACTGACAGGGATAATGAGGGTAGGAGTGTGAGAGACAGTGAGATTGGCTCATGATAGAGCTGGGTCCACAGCTATTGTGCATAGGGTTTCCATGAGTTTATTCAACTCAATGGTACATAATAAAAAACAACAAATGGGCCTTCTTTGCTTGGCTCTTGTCTAATCCACCCTGTTCTAAGCCTGGCTATACCAATGAAGGAATTTCAGAAGCTGCTTAAGAAATGAATGACCCCCTGGAACAGTTCTACTCTGCAGAACTGTGGTTGCCATGAGATGACATTTGAGTTGATGGCAATTAACAACAATGGATCTCTATTCAGGTGATGGTAATATTGGGTGATGATAGTTTAATGTTTTCTCTATATAAGAACTTTTGTATCTGAACAAGGGACACAGGTTGGCGATAGGCTGGGGAAGGTGTTTGTCAGTACGTGGATGTATGCTCACACCTGCTTACTGTGAGCCACCTGCTTATCTGCTTCCTTTCAGTGTGTGTGTATAATGTTGACTATAGAAAAGTGCCACATAGTTGGCATCTTTCTCAGTAAACTGAGTCTTGGCTGCTGTGGACACAGTCCTTTAGTAGGATTGTTTGGTTTGTGGATATTGTTTGTTTTTAGCTGTCATCAAGTCATTTCAATGTGACATAAGACATCCATTATGCTGTGAGGTTAAGGCTGTGTGCAAGCAGCATGTTAAACTCCTGAAAGCGTGAGGCTACAAACTGGGGAATGACTCCCTAGCAACTTCTCTTGTTGTTGTTCTTGTCGTGACATTGACTCAGAACCAACGGGCAACTGGCCCTGCAGTGGTCTTTCAGAGGTAATAATTACATGGGAGGAGATTGCCTATCTTTCTCCCATGAAGTGGCTGGTGGATTTGAACCGCATGCCATTGGTATTGTAGCACAGATTCTTACCATTAAGCCACCAGAGCTCCCTATTTCCGAAAGGAAACTCTTATGACCTAATAATGTACGGGGCATTGCTCTACCAGTGCAAAAATTCATGGTTCAAATCTGCTATCTGATCTGTGGAAAAAAAGATGGCAGCTATCCTAGCAACTTATAGATGATTCTTTTCTGTCATGTTTTGGTTTGCATTTTTTTACTCAAAACATATTGCTGTCCAGTCTATGCTGATTCATAGCTGACCCTCTGTATATCACACAGGGGGGAGTTTTTCTGTACATCACACAGGAAGAGATTGCCCATTTTTCTTTCAAGAAGCAGCTGATGGATTTGAACTGCCTGTCTTTGAGTTACACACTAGGCCACCAGAGCTTCCTATACCAGGCCTAAGCCAAGGCAGTTTTGGGCTAGACTTAGTTCAATGGGAGAGCCCAGGTGATACAAACAATTTACACATTTGACAACTAACAGAAAGGTCTGAAGTTGGGGTCTACCTAGAGGCCTTGTTACTTACTTCTGAACAGTGCTGTTAGGTGCTGGTGAGTCTGCAACAACTATGAACAACAGATGTGAACCTTGTTCTGTCCAGTGCCATCTTCACTATCTGATGTTGCAGACCGAGGGTCCCAAAGAATGGAATAATTTGATAATTATTAATAAAGAGACAAACAGCCAGGAATGTGATAGAGCAGAGAGCATAAAACAGGGGGCCAGCAGTTCTTGACTGAAGACCCCAAGCCAAGCTTCTCTGTGTCTTTATTGAAAATTATCAGGAAGTAAATCACAAAGAGAATTCAATGCAAATGAAGCCAAGCTCTTTCTATTGAAAACCTTCTGCTTGACTCAGGAAGGAGGGGTCCACAAATGCAAGAATTTGGTCTACCCTTAGCTATTAACCTTGATGCCTCAGGGTGAACTCTAGCTCAGGAAGTAACACCTGGCTGTCTCCTGTCTTCAGGGAACAAACAGCTCATTTTCTAGGATCTGCCACAAGAGAAATCCCAACTTATATATCTGTAATTCCTTCAATTCCTGAACAAGGGTTTTCACATAATATTTGGTATAAAGTTTGGCTTCCCATAATCTGATATGCTCGAGTCCATGGCTACAGTCACTGGGTAAATCTTGTTGAGGGTCTTCCTCTCTTTCTCTGACCCATTGCTTTTCCCAGCTTGAATTATTTTTCCAAAGACTTGCCTCTCCTAACAACATGCTCAAAGTAGGTGAGACGAAGTTTTATTATCATTGCCTTTAAGGAGCCCCTGGTTTTACTTCCTCCAGGATAGACCTGTTTGCTCTTTTGGCAGTCCCTGGGACATTCAGTACTCTTCTCTAACACCACAACCCAAAGGCATCAATTCTTCTTGTCTCATCCATATTCATTGTCTAGTTATAAGCTGGGAGAACAAAAACCACAATGGCTTTGAAGACTACACACAAGGCAGTGATTTATTATACTCACCATCTTTCTTTTTTTTTTCTATAATTATATTTTATTAATTTTCGTAAACATTTACAGAGATTTTGGGCTTCCACTCATTCATTGTTGCACTATTCTCTCTACCCTCCTCCCAGTTTGTTCTTGTCCAAATGCCACAGTGCTTGTCAAAGCCAGTTCTGATTAATCTTCTTTGTCAGTGTATCCTTTGCCATTCCCTATCACTCCTCCCTGAGAGAGACTTCACCCTGAGTCATAAGGAAAAGGGCACGGCGTATTCTCTTAGCTACTTCCTGCTGAAAAGGGACGCTGTGGGTTTCAGGGTGAAGATCTTCTCTCACTACTCTAAAGGGCCCCTTTGGCAGTAGGAAACACATAGACTATTATGGAGATTGATTTTGGAATTTAGATGCACTCTTATTGATTGTGCTTGGCTGTACTTGTTCATATCCTTGAAGATGTATCATGGGGGTGTTGCAACCTAGAAGACACAAATTTGACTAACAAGTTATAAGTAGATGAGTCCAAAAATTATGGAAAAGTAAAAGAAAAGATTCTTTCATTGTTTTACAAACCCTCCCCCAGGTCCCCTCCACCATGTAGCCCTCACTCTAGTCTCCTGTGATGACAGAAATACCCAGTTACATCTCTCTTTTAGACGGTTCTCTCCCTCCTCTGCTTCAGTGCAGTATACATTATTGAACCCATCTTACTCAGTCTCTCCCTAACCCCAAGGACAGTCCCATTCTACAACAGTGGCATCATGTAATATTTGTCCTTTTGTGACTGGGATATTTCACTCAGCATAATGTTCTCCAGAGTCAACCATTTTGAATAATATTGCATGAGTTCCTTGTTTTTTAATGCAGCATAGTATTCCATTGTGCGAATATACCACAGCTTCTCTAGCCATTCGTTTGCTGATGGGCACTTAGGTTGTTTCCAACTCCTTGCTATTGTGAACAAAGCTGCAATAAACATGGGTGTGCATATATCTGCTTGGATGTCAGCTATGGTCTCTTCAGGGTATATTCCCAGTAGTGGAATTGCTGGGTCAAATGGTATCTCTATTTGCAACTTTTTGAGAAAGCGCCATACTGCTTTCCACAGGGGTTGCACCATTTTACACTCCCACCAACAGTGAATCAGGGTTCCAGTTTCTCCACAACCTCGCCAGCATTTCTTGTTTGCTGTTCTTATTATACTCACCATCTTTCAAGAGACTTTACAATTTTCCAACCATTTACAGCAGACCTGTTGTTGCCCAAGCTTGCACTATCCTCCCTATCTCTGATATGTTACAGGCACTGTGTGCATCATCTCAAACTGGCTCCGCTCCTCTTTTTCTCGCTCTTTACATTTCCCAGCAATCATTGCAAAAACCTTACACAGTTCTACTCTGATATACACTAAAAAGTTATGAGTCAAAATAGACAGAAGCTGGTGTACAGTTCAATGTTTATCTGGTTTTTCAAAACTTAATATGTACTTGTTGTTGTTGTTGTTGTTATGTGCTGTCAAGTTGCCTGCAACTCATAGCAACCCTATGCACAATAGCTTTGAACCTTTCCCTGTCCTGAGCCAATACACCTACCCTCATTGCCCTAGTTACTGTATCAATCCATCTTGGGGCATTCTTCTCCTGCGCTGTCCCTTCACCTTTCCAAGCATGATGTCCTTCTCTAAGGATTAGTCCCTCCTGGCCATAAGAGGAAGGGAAAATAAAACAAACAAAACAAAGAACCATACAAAAACAAAACCAGAATTATCTTTAGGAATTTTTCTCTTTATAACAGTTTCCCCAAAAATGATGTAAATGAAGGGGCTTTCTTAGATGTTTGATCAATGTATGCTGCACTGGAACAAGCTCGGAGCGCCATTTTTAACTTTTTGAATGGAATAATGTTCAGAAGCTTGCTCTTCAAAAGACCAGTGGTTCATTCAAACAATAGCTCCTGCTAGTGTTGTTAGGTGCCCTCAAGTCGATTGTGACTTGAAGTGACCTTATGAACACTGATCTGAACCTTGCACTACCACCATCACCATGATTTCTGACGTGCTCAAGCTCATTTTTAAAGTCAGTGTGCCAATCCATCTATCGAGGGTTTCCCTCTCTTTCCCTGACCCTACATCTTTTCAAGCATGACATATTTTATTCCAGGACCTTGCACTCATGACAGCACATCTAAAGAATGTGAGATGGTGTGTCACCATTTGTGTTTCTAAGCAGCACCCTGCTTCCATTTCATCTAGGATAGATTTGTATGTTCTCTTGGCAGTCAGTCGATGGGATATTCAATACTTCCAACACCACAATTCAAAGAATGATTATGGTTACATACTAAACACTCAAAAATAGTTTTAGAAATGAATGATAGAGGTAAAGAGTGAAGTGAAGGAAAGGTCCTTGGAACCAGATATCTCGAGGATCAATGGAATTCTGAGAGGTGAGATCTCCAATAAGGTAATCAATTTCACTTGGACCCAATTTTCTTGTCAAAATGAGGACCAGAATACCAGCATAATATATTTGTTGTGAAGGTTGTTGTTGTTAGGTGTCATTGAGTTGAGTATGACTCATACTGACCCTATGAACAAAAGATTTGAACCCTCTTCCGCCTGCCCGCGGCCGAACGGCCATCATGGATACCAGCCGCGTGCAGCCTACCAAGCTGGCCAGAGTTACCAAGGTGTTGGGCAGGACCGGTTCGCAAGGGCAGTGCACGCAGGTGCGCGTGGAGTTCATGGACAACAGGAGCCGCTCCATCATCCTCAACGTGAAAGGGCCCATGTGCGAGGGCGACGTGCTGACCTTGTTGGAGTCAGAACGAGAGGCGTGGAGGCTATGCTGAGGCCGCCGCTGGATCCTCGATGTCTCTTCTGCTTGGCCCCGGGAATGATATTCATTGTTCATTAAAATCTGTGTTGTGCTAAAAAAAAAAAAAAAGGTTTGAACCCTGCTCTATCCTAAGCCATCTTCACATATCCTGACACACTAGAGCCCATTGTAGCAGTCACCATATCAATCCAATGGTTGAGGGTCTTTCTCTCCTTTGCTGACCCTCCACCCTTTCCAGCATCATGTTCTTCTCCAAGTTATAGCCCCCCAACAACACGCCCAAAGTATGTGAGATGAAGTGTCATCCTTCTTTTCTCCAAAGAGCACACTGGCTGCACCCTCTCCAAGACATATCTGTTTGTTCTCTTGGCCATCCATGGAATTTTAGTTCTCTTTTCTAACACCACAGCTCAAAGATGTCAATTCTTTTTTCATTGTCCAGTTTTCAGATACATAGCAAGTAATCAGAATGCTATGGCCTGAATCAAATACACCTTAGTCCTCAAACGGAAATCATTACTCTTCAATAACTTGAAGAGGTCCCTAATTGCAGATTTTCCTAGTGTAATGCATCTCCTTATTTCCTGACTCCTGGTACTAAGGGTGCTATTTGTGGATCAAGCAAGATGAAGCTGTTGAGTTTCAATCTCCTCTCCATCCATTATGATGCTGCCTAATGGTCCACTGGTAAGAATATTTGTTTTCTTGACATTGAGACGCAATTCATACTGAGGGCTGTATTCTTTGATATTCTGTAAGAAGTTCTTCAAGTACTCCTCACTTTCAGCAAGCAATGTTGTGTTATCTGCAAATGACTTGTCAGTTGTCACAATTGACTTGACATTTCAGTTAACAGATGCACCTTTAGATACACTCACCAGTCTATGCCAGGAAGTTAAGAGGACAGTTGTCTGGCTAATGGATTGGAAGAGGTCCATATTTGTTCCCATTCCCGAGAAAGGCGATCCAACTGAATCTGGAAACTATCAAACATTATCAGCAATATCACATGCAAGCAAAATACTGCTGAAGATCATTGAAAAATGGCTGGAACAGTACATAGACAGGGAACTGCCAGAAGTTCAAGCAGGATTTAGAAGAGGCAGTGACACCAGGGACATCATTGTTGATGTCAGATGGATCCTGACTGATTTGATGGTTTTGATCCTCACCTCTATAAATTAAGAGACTGTGAATGTTTACTGCTTATGTTTGCCCCTTCCTGTAACTTTCCTTATCAAGGAACAAGAAATCAATGTCTTTGAATTATGGTATTGGTGAAGAGTATTGAATATACCATGAACTTCCAAAAGAACAAATAAATCTATCTTGAAAAAGGTGCCGCCAAAGAGCTCCTTGAGGGCAAGAATGGTGAGACTCCATCTCCCCTAACTCTGGGCAGGTTATCAAGAAAGTTTGGTCCTTTGAAGGGGAAACCACACTTGGTAAAGTGGAGACTTAGTGAAAAGAGAGGAAGATGTTCTCTGAGGTGAACACACAGTGACTACAAACAATGGGCTTAACCACAGCAGAGACAGAAGATGGTGCAGGATCAGGCAGAGTTTTGTTCTGTGCTGTACAAATGGTCGCTATAAGTCAGAGCTGATTTGGTGGAACCTCACAACAACAGCTCTCCTTAATGTAAGGGAAGATTAAAAGCCACAAAGCTGCACACAAGGCAGAGCTTTATTATATGTACCACCCTTCAAAAGGCTTTATGATTTTCCAACCATTGACAATCGTTCCTAGAGCAGCTCTGAGAGCCTTCTTTTGACTCGGCTTGCTTTTCTACCCAAATCTGAATAGTATATTAGCTCCTTCACCCTTACCACTCAGGGAGTCTTGGGTAGAGTCACCTAGCAATTAACCTCAGGCCATTGGGTGCATGGACATAAAAGTGTGATGGAATGCAGGTCTCCCAATGGCTTGGCTAAGTCTCCTCAGTTGTCCTTCTTTTCCCTACACCTCAGCCTAGGAGGGACTATGTCACATTCTGTTGCTGGAACCTAATGCTCCTACATCTCTTTCATGTGGTGAATGTGTTCACTCCCCTCTGCTTTAAAGGCCGTGTATTCCATGAGAACCTTCCCCTGGTGACCATCTGTCATCATCAGTGACAGGAACCCGGCGTGGAGGAATGCTGGACAGTGGTCAGGGCTGCCCTCTGGCAGTCATAGGAGAGACAGCGCCCTGCTCTGTTATTTTTGAACCAGGACTATAATGTGTGTGTAATGCTGTTTCTGGAATATATACGTCTCCAGGGACCCAGTGGGTGCACACAGGGTAGAAGAGCTTGTTTTATTGGAATGTCAATCTATTTCATTTTTTTATCGCATTTGGCATTTCTCTGAGCTAATTTCCTCCATGGAGTGTGGATCTGTGGTGATTTATGTGGGCAGAGAGTGCCTGAATTTGGGGTTACACAACCAGCAGAACTGGTTGGGAGTCTGACTCGCCTGCCCAGCTGTAGCATGTTAAGTTTGGCATCCAAGTTGCAAACATGTGGATGACGTGAAAAGCAAATGTTTTCACTCTTTCAGAAGAAGTGTAAATCCTTGGTTCAATCTGGTTCTGCTGGGAAAGTGGCAAATGTTGGTTTGGAGATGTCTTTTGGTAATTCTCTCTTGAAAGCTGAACTGGTTCACATCAGGGAGGGAGGTGTTATATCTTCTTGTCACAGTCTAAAACACAATTCCTGAAAAATTAAATAATCGCTCTTAGATTTCCTGGAGAGTAAAAGAACCTAAAATTGACAGGCCTATGAACAGAGGATGGCATTTAGCTTCTGCATGGCCTTTTTAGTTACTCAGTATGCCTGAACCTCTTCTATAGGTTTTCCGTCAAATGCCTGCAATTCACTTTTCAAAAGAACTGTGTCAGAGTGTGCTTCAAACCTTCTTAGTCTGCATTATACTTATCACTTATATCTATTCTAAGACTCAAAGAAAACTCATTTCATCAAATCAGAACTGACTCATAGCTGACCCTCAGAAGCTATAACTTGCACAGGAGACTGGCCCCTTCTTTCTGCTGAGGAGCCGAGGGTGGACTTGAACCACCAGAGAAACACTGCTTTTGGGTTACCAGTGAAACTCTTCATGGCCAACACCAGCAGAAGCTCTTTTAAAAGTTACTCCCAACTGTTGTTTTTCTGGGAAAATATTTGGCATTTTTCTATTACATTTGTTGTTGTTGTTAGGTGCCATCGAGTCACTTGGGACTCATAGTGACCCTATGTACAACATCCCTAAACTCTGCTCTATCCTGTGCCAATCTCACTGTCTCTGACACTCCCATCCCGATTATCCAAGTCACTGAATCAATCCACCTCATAGAGGGTCTTCCCCTCCTGTGCTGTCTCTCCACCCTCTCAATCATGATGCCCCTCTCCAAGGACCGGTCCCTTCTTACAACATGTCCAAAGTATGTCAGACAAAGCCCCAGAATCCTTGTCTCCAAAGAGAAACCTGTTTTAACCTTCTCCAGGATGAATCTATTTGTTTTCCTAGCAGTCCATGGTATTCTCAATACTCTTCTCCAGCACCATAGCTCATAGGCATCAATTCTCCTTCTAGCCTCCTTAGTCATTGTCCAACTCTCTGATGCATAACAAGTGATTACAAGGACCATGGCCTGTATCAGATGCACCTTAGTCTCCAGAGAGACACCATTGCTCTTCAGTACTTTGGAGAGGTCTCTAACAGCTGACTTTCCCATCACAACACAACTTTTAATTTCCTGGCTGCTGATGCCAAGAGTGTTTTAACTCTTACCAATGTCCAGTAAGATATATTTTAATGTCCCACATTAAAGGTAGGGAAATTGAGGTCTGGAGAGGTCAGCTACTTACCAAAGGTCACATGATTGGAACAAGGCTGAGCTGTTCGGGGAATCCAACTCTGTCTGACTCAATAGGGTTTACTTTGATCTCTAACTATGATGGTATACAAAACTGACCATACGTACCTCCAATGTACCAGGCCAGCCTGAGAAGAAATACAGTGGAACAGGGTTAAAATAAAACACAGGACCAGGAATAAGGGTGTCCAGCTCTTTACTGTCAGGGACATGAGTAGTAACAGTAATAATAATATTTTTAATACAGCAGCCTTTTGTCAGTTTGTTGTACTGTGATGGTGCCGTTCATTGAATTATTTCTCCTTCACATTCCCTCCCCAATCCCTGAAAAATGTGTAAATCCTCAACTGTGGCTACAATCTTGTTTGAGATTATGTTAATGAGACAGGTTGAGTGTTGGGTGCATCTTGATCTAATCTAGTAAACAATGAAAAAGATTAATCAAGCAGTAAATGAGAGAATCAGAGATGGAGAGGGGAGATGCCCTGACTCTTGAAGATTGTCTAACAGAGAGACAGAGCTTCCCCTTGACATGACCCCTGAATTTGTACTTATATCTCCTAAATAAGTCCTCTTCAATTTGCTGAACAAAGTTGTGTCATCTGCATAAGGAAGGTTGTTGATGAGTCTGTCTCCTAGGCTAAAGCCACATTCCTCTTCATAAACCCAACTTCTCAAGTGATTTGCTTAGCATAGAGATTGAATATGTAGGAGAAAGGATACAGTCCTGATACACATTTTTCCTGATTTTAAACAATGTAGTGTTCCCTTGTTCTGTTCTGTTCAGAGAGTAGTTTCCTGGTCTAGGTATAGGTTTCTTGTAAGCATAATGAAATGGTCTAGGATTCTCATCTTCTCAATGCTAGCCATGGCTTGTTGTTGTCCACATAGTCAAATTCTTTTGCATGGTCATTAAAACAAAAACCAGGCACTCTTCTGATATTCTCTGCTTTCAACCATGTTTCATCTGACATTACCAATGATATCCCTGGTGCCATGTTCGCTTCTAAATCCAACTTGAACGATGACCAGTTCTCTGGCAATGTACTATTCTAGCCATTTTTGGATGATCTTCAGCAATATTTTGCTTGCATGTGATATTAAAGATATTGTCCAATAATTTTCACATTGTGAAGGATCACCTT